CTTTGGCCACCTCTCTCTTCACCACGACAGTCCAATACAACGCCCACACTAGTGCTGACACTGCACCAACTCGCTGGCCCGATTCACGCTCCACCTCCCCATCACTTCAACTCTCTTGCTTGTGGCGACCTCCATCCTCCAATCCAGAGGGAGCATTCCAACATTTGTCAGCAGTTGCTACGACGGGGAATTAACTACAGAGGCCGAACCAGTTGTGTATCAGACATGATTATTTCTGCATGTTAACACAGCAGTCTGAGGGGACTCCCTGCTGAAGCCTCTGGACTGCAGAGGAACTCACATCTCCAGCGCTGGGGTCAAAGTTCACGTAGTAAAACCTTTAAACTTGTATCAGTAAACAAGCTGAGCCCTGCCTGACCTTCATGTCTGAGATGGACTCCAGCTTCTGCTGTTCCTTTGGCTTTTTCTTTTGGAAATCCTCCATCAGGTTCTTTATGTTGGTGCCAATCTCTCCAAAGTTCAGGTACAGGTTCTAACGAGGAGAGAGAGCGAGGTTAGTGACAGTCACCATGGTAACCTGGAGGGGCAGCTGAAACATCACATTTCTACAGTCTGCTAGAAACCTTCCAACATGACGAGTGCAGCGTGTTCCTGTCACTCACTTCAATCCTATTAACGCACAGATGCTGACAGATGTGAGCAGATGTGCTGCTGTGTGAGACTCACGTTGGCGTAGAACTCGTCGTTCTCCGCTGACAGGACCACCTCTCTCAGGTCTTTGCTGACCCCGGGGACTCTGGACAGGTCGATCCTGTTGTTGTTGAGGCCGAGCAGCTCGTGGACCATCGCCTGGTAGGTCCACTGCAACACAGCGAAAGCTCGTAAACACTTCACACAGACACACAACCAGTGGATTTATGATTTGCCATCAAATTAAAGTGACAAATGAGCTGCAGAGGATGTGAAAGATGACAGGATTATTAAAAGTGCAAAATGATTTCCTCATCGATGTCACAGAGGACAGGTCACCTGATTGAGCAGCGGCGTGATGGCATCGTCGCTGCGGTCCAGGATCAGCAGCAGAGGAGGAACTTCAGTCTTCCTGAAGTCAAACAGCTCGTACTCCTTCGTGATGATTTGCTGACAACAAACAAATAAAATACTGAAGAATAAAAGTACTACTCAGAGTACTGCTTGAGGAAAAGTGTTAACAGCTGAGGCTCGAGTGTTTAAACCAAAGTGCTCAAGTTACAGCTCAGAGCCGACGTCATCTTTGAACAGCCAACAGGACACAAAATAACCTGTAGTGGCATTAAAAGCACTTTTCAGTGATGACGTGTGTGAGGTCGTGTGTGATGTCGTGTGTGAGGTCGTGTGTGAGGTTGTGCGTGATGACGTGTGCGATGACGTGTGTGATGACGTTGCTGTGGACACCTTGACGCTCTCCGCGAGCCGCTTGGACATGTCTGAGGACAGCTGGTAGCGGATCATCGGACATTTCTTCAGAGCAAGCAGGACGGAGGTCAGTCCCTGAGTGCAGCGTGCCAACATGGAGGGTTCCCAGCTCCGCCCCTAAAACACACACAG